AAATCTGTACTCCTACTTTCCTCCAGAAATAATGCTAATTTTGAAATAGTTATTTCAAAACAGCATTAGTATGGATGCTCCAGTGCTGCTATTTCAAAATAACTACTCCCCAGAGTCATTCAAAGTAATTACTCCCCAGTGCTTCCCAAGGTTCTAAGTCAAGTTAGGGCATCCAAATTAATGGAGCCTGCCTTGGACTAATTTTGAGGCTTCCTTATAGTGGGGACATGCTATTACGATTTTGTTACATCATGAGTTAAGTTGAATTTAGTTATTTTGAAATAGTTTCCTGGTGTAGACATAGCCAAAGAATGAAAATGTTCTTGATTATGAGAAATGTAAAATAATTGCAGATCACTATGAATCAATAGGCACCAACTTTGACAGTCTGAATGCAGAAGTTTTAGAGCAGTGCTTCTCAAAGTGGGCCACAAGCCTGCATTGGGAAAGCTGCTAACAGGCTGCTTTGCTTTGTTCATCTAAAAGCTCTATAGCCACAGAGCCTCACGGTTCTCATTGGCTCTGGTGCACCATTTCCAGCTAAGGAGAGATGTGGGAAGAGGCATGACCTAGGCCACTGCTTCCCGCAGCTCCCATTGGCTAGAAACAGAAATTGGAGCCAATGGGAGCTGTAAGGTTCTGTGGTTGCAGAGCCTTTAGTTAAACAAAGTGAAGCAGCCCATTAGCAGCTTTTCCAAAGAAGGCCCACAGCCCACTTTGAGAAACTCTGCCTTAGAGCAACACACTAGAAACCTTCCAGCCCTTTGTATTTATTCATAATTTTTGCATACGCTGTTGTCCAAAAACTGCATGCAAGATACCTCACAATACTAGAAACACTGAAAGCCAGTCCAGTTCAGAGTGCTGGTGGCTTTGGCCCATCAGCACTGCAAAAGGCTTGATGAAAAGTGTAAAGTCCTATTCCTTTCTGCTGAGGTTCTTGGGTTTGGAAAGAATATTCAAGATTTTGAATTGCGCTTGAGAAGTACTACAAAATGAAAATCTGAATCTACCAAGTGCCATGGAATTAGTAGCAAGCAATATTGCTGCTCTTCAAGAAATGAAAACATAAGAAAGCAAATGTAAGGAGCTATGTGATGAAGCTGAAATCATTGCTAAGGAATTTGAAATTGCTATTTCAGGTCAGGTAGCCATAACTGCTGAGCACAACAATACAACAATGACAAAAATAACCTAAAAAAATAACCCCCAGGCTGGCGTTGTGTTTTGTTTTTAGTACACTGGGTCAGCCAACTATACAGGATGTTCCTAGGAGCATTCAAAAATCTATAAAATCTGATTTCTACTATCCTGTTCTGGACAGATTTCTTGCAGAGCTTGATAGACGATTTATCTCCAACTCCAGTTTGCTTTCTGCATTAACTGCTTGTGACCCAAAGCCTTGATCTACATTAGGGGTTTATTTCAAAATACGAACCCTTAGGTTGAATTTAGAAGCAAGGCATCCACTCTACCAAGCCTGTTCTTTCAAAGTAATGGGACCCTTATTTTGAAATCTGTACTCCTACTTTCCTCCAGAAATAATGCTAATTTTGAAATAGTTATTTCAAAACAGCATTAGTATGGATGCTCCAGTGCTGCTATTTCAAAATAACTACTCCCCAGAGTCATTCAAAGTAATTACTCCCCAGTGCTTCCCAAGGTTCTAAGTCAAGTTAGGGCATCCAAATTAATGGAGCCTGCCTTGGACTAATTTTGAGGCTTCCTTATAGTGGGGACATGCTATTACGATTTTGTTACATCATGAGTTAAGTTGAATTTAGTTATTTTGAAATAGTTTCCTGGTGTAGACATAGCCAAAGAATGAAAATGTTCTTGATTATGAGAAATGTAAAATAATTGCAGATCACTATGAATCAATAGGCACCAACTTTGACAGTCTGAATGCAGAAGTTGCCAAGAATCATATTGCACACAAAAAAATGACTTTGATTTCAAAATTCTAGAATGTTCTTAGTGACTTACCAACAGGTTACCATTCTTTGATATCTATTGTAGATATTGTGTTAACCTTCCAGTTTCTACAGCATTAAATGAGAGATACTTCTCTGTGTTCAAGAGAGTGAAGGACTTAAGCAGAGTCATAACTAGCTAATTTGGCACCTGAGGCAAGACCATCCTCGGCCAGGCAGGGGTACTGATGTGGAGTATGGCACCAATGAAGATAGTGTTGTAGCGGCTTTTCTGCGCCCCCTCAGCTATGCGCCTGAGGCTGCTTTTCTGCGCCCCCTCAGCTATGTGCCTGAGGCAAGTGCCTCACTCGCCTTGCCCTTGTTACGGCCCTGGACTTAAGATCCACAAAGTGACTCGGTAATTTTAGTTTGTGAACATGAATTTCACAACATCTGGATATCAATAAGGCCATTGACAATTTTGCCAAGATGAAACCATGGTGTTAGCCATAGTTTTAGCTCATATCGGGAATGTTGTTTGTTTTTCAGAAATTGTATTTACTTTTAAACATTTCTGGAAGAAATTAACTATTAACTTTAATAGACATGTTTTATATATTTTTTCTTTGTATAAGAATTGGGAACACTTGTTCCTGCCAGTTAATTTCTAAGTTTTTCAGTTGCCTCAGTAGCCGATGAAATAGAATCATGGTTAAAGCTCTCCCCCTCTACTAAAATCTGAAATGGTGTCCCTGGTGTGAGGGGATATCATTATGATGCCATGCAAAGAATTATCAACAGAAAACACTTTTTGAAATATTGTGTCTGTTTTTCTATACAATATAGCAGAGTACAATAAAATATGCCATTTCTTTTAAAGATTTCTTCCCTGCATTGTTTATTATAGTAGTACAAATAACCCATCAATGTAGAAATAATTCACAAGGAAACCTACTGAAAAAAAATGACACAGCTAAGTAATCATATGCCCAGATATGGAAATGGAATTAGTTTAGCTGTTTTAAAGTTCTGTATATTAAATGGCAAGCATAAATTGTTAAGTATCACCACTCACTTGCAATGCACAGGCCCCTGAAGTCAATGGAAATTTAGGGACAGCAAGCTATGTAAGAACAGGCTGCAACATGTAAAGACAATTAACAGTTGAAACAAATGCGTTGAACACATGCATGCTCTGTGTGCAGAACCCAACCAAAGTTCTAAAGAGCACCTGTGAAAGGAATCTAGCAGTTAAGAGCAACACTGAAGATCCCACAATACTCCCACAATGTAATAGGGTTCCACTGTATTTTGAATCATCTTGTTAATTCCTTTGGAGAACAACTTGTAAAAGAATTATTCATTCTCTCTGTGCATACATTCACTGCATTTTCCCAAATTATTTCCAAAGTGTATACATACAGGAAATAATACAAAACTTTCCCCAGTCTACGTTTGAAAGCTTGTCAGCATTCAGCACTAAGGCCTTTAATCCCAGGCTTTAAATAATTTAGGTAACACTTGATTACTCCTTTGCTGGAACGTCAAGCTCTGCAAAATCTGAGTAACACAATATTTGAGCTAGGGACTGGGACAGGGAGAGAAAAGGGAGACTATTTAAGGTGACCATACATCCTGTTTTGGCCAGAACAGTCCCTTTTTTTATCCCCTAACCTGGCATTTTTTAACAAAAGATGGCTTTTGGCCCAGTTGCTCTTGCTGACTTGATCAGTTGGCAATAGCAAACAGGACAAATGGCCACTTTTGTCAAAGAGTGGAGGACAGTGTGGCGGGGGTGAGCAGAGATGCCAGCCCTCCTCAGGGGGGAAAGTAAGGCTGGGGTGGAGGAAGAAATCGGCATGATGGCATGCATGCTCCCTCCACCCCCACAGGGTTCTAGTAAGTAGCAACAGCAGGGGGGGCTCAGGTGAGTGGCAGGGGGTGTCCCATTTTCTCTGAGAAATATGGTTACCCAGAATACTGTAAGCACTTAAGTAAAACGCAGTCTTGTATTTGCAATGTAAACTATAGTAAATAACAGTGAGGGCTAGGTATCAAAGCATTCTTTATTCTTGTTTTCAACAACAAAGCCCTTACTTAGGAGTTCTACAGTTCAGAATGTTGCAGCCTTCATGCCATAAAGAATCAAATTTATAGACTCAGAGGGGATAGCTGGGTTAGTTTATAACTTTAAAAACAATGAGTAGTCCTGTTACTACTAGAGACTAACAAATATATATATATATAGTATCATGAGCTTTCCTGGGCAAAACCTACTTCATGGGATGAAAAGAAAAGGAACCAAACATTCACACATGCTATAGTCAGCAGCCATATACAGTAGAATCTAGCTACTGTGTTCACTTTAACCCTCTCTCTAAGAGAACAGTTTCTTTTTCTGAGCTAATAGGGGAGTCAATATCAACTTTTCCCATTCATTTGCTAAACTTAAACTCGTATAAATTAGTTTGTTTACTTAGATAAGTCTGTTCACTTAAACAAAAACCCTACTGCCTAGATAGGATTTTCCAGAAAAGTTCTCCACCCAACAATGGTCATTTTATACCAGCCAAACTAAATTTATGTATACAAAGTTACTCGATTCCGTTTTCGTGGGTTACATCTCTGTGAAGATAGATGTTAGCGTGTGTATTATGAGCATGGTTCGCTACACACAGCCCCTGGCTTGCTTGACAATAATTAAATTAATCTTGCAAAATTGTCAGAAATGAGTAAAGAGAAAATCCCGCCCCTCTCCCCTGGAATTAAATACCCCCTTAGGAGGTGTTCATGCTGCCTTTAAGATCACTCAGCACACCATTACCTCGGAATTCTTGTTTACACCTAGGAATAAACGTTGCCCTCTTAAACCCGTGAGCTCCGCAAAACTCCCCATCTTAGCCCTTTGCCACACACGGCTCTAGCCCTCAGGGGCAGGCACCCCCAGCCTGAGAATTGCTCTCAGCAGCGTTCATCGGGGGCACATTTGACTCCCTCTCCTACCATTTTGGAACAAGCGCTCACCCCGCGCCTGGCCTGACACCACATCCATCAGCTCCCCAGCGCAGCAGCGCGCCACAAGCTAACCTCTTTTGCGCCATCAACGGACTTGAGGCCCACATGGGAACCTGGCTCCTCTTCCCAGAGCAATCAGCCATCCTAGCCCTGCAAGCTCAGGCCTTGGCAACCTGACCTCAAGCCAGAAAGTCTCCATCCTCTTCGGAGCCAGAAGGAACGGCGGAGGGAGGGGTGAAGCCCAGTCCTCTGGGGCTTGATTTAAAACTTTGTGAGGGCACGGGAGGAAAGGGGGGCGGACACCACATTGGCCAGCTGAAAAGTGCCTGGCTTCGGGAGGGTCTGTTCAGGGTTCCTCTGCCTGCTTTTTTCTCCCACCCCCTCGCCTTGTTTCCAAAGGGGCCTCTGGCCAGCCCTGATTAATAAGGGGGCTTTTTGTTGCGGCAGGGGGGATAATAGAAGATGGCCGGTGACCCAACAAAGCCTAACCCTGGCGCTCCTTTCTTGTGGCAAGCTGAGAAAGGGGCTTTAGGACGGAGACCCCAAGCACTGACCCGCACACAGCCTGCGGCTTCCCCATTCATGCGCGCAGCCTTCCAGTCGCCCGGAGCTCCCATTGTTTGCCAAATAACAATGGGGCAAGCCAAGCTCCTTTCACTTGCCTCGCGGATGCTTTGCAGCGAGGGAAACCCCGGCCTGGAGGTTTGTCTTGAGGGCTGTGCAGAGGGATCTGACGTCAACGCCGACGATTTGGGGGTTTATTCCCAGTTCTCAGGAGTTTCGAAACTGAACCAGAGACCCGAACCCTTCCTTTACGTGCCCGCACTTACTGATTTGCGGCTGTTGTGTGCGCAAAGGGCACGGGTATGCTCCCGATCCCCAATAACACTGCTGGGAACACAGGGGCTTCCTTTATTTTGGGCAACTCTCTGTCCTTCAGTGTGTAGGGCGCAGCGCTGCAGTCCCTAAAAATAGCTGCGCGCTAGCGGCCGCTCCTCACAGGGGCACCCGCTGGAGAGTGGCTGGAGGGTGGCTGCTTTGATTAGGCAAACCTAGCTTTTGTCTCCCTCCCATTCCCGCCTGCCAGCGCAGGAGTTCACAGCCTGACACCCAGAAAGGCATCCGTGTGCTTTCCGTGCTTCCCTGCCCGGCCCACCAGGCCCCATTTCTAACGCGAACCCATCGCACACGCTGCGCTTTGTCTACGTGGGTAAATCACACGGACAAGCCAATGGGCAGGAGAACAACTAGCTGGATCCGGGGCTTCAGAGTTGGGGAGTTAATGACCTGTTAAAGTGTTTATTATTAATTCCTACTATGGCAGAACCTCTACTTCGCTCCCTGACCAAGGGGCTGGGAGATTCTGGGAGCGCGGGGCTTGTTTGGGGGGATGAAGGGATTTCTGCTAAATAGCTAAGAATGAGGGGAAATGCCATGACTTTCCTACTGGCTGAACAATTTCTCAATGCCCCGTTGCTTTGGCAGGAGGTTGTCGCATCCCTGCAACGATCTAGAAACGCCTGGATTGGAATAAAAAGGGGGTGAGAGGATGCCAGGATGACCCTTTAACACCATAAAGACAGAGGGGAACAACAGCCTGGGCTTGATTTAAGAGATCGGGTCTCAGAATTAGGTCGATGGCGTTTGCCCTGTAAAATATCCAATTGCAAGCGCTTCAGCAGTAAAACTCCAGCCTGAGAGAAAACCCTGAAGGGCCAAAGTCTTCCGATTTATTAGCTGCATTCAGAGAGCGAGAGCTCATAAAACCATTGGGGCTGGATGTGGGCTGCCAGGTGGTCCAATGGTTCGAATGCAGTAGGCCTTACACACCTGCTTGAGGCTTGTTTTCAAAGCAGGCTTGGGTTCCAAGTGACATTAATCTACTGGGCTCAGGTCAGTCTTCAGTCCCCATTTGCCCATCTCCCATCAAATCTAACATGGGCAGGCGCAAAATTGCACGGGGAGACCTCCAACTGCATTAGCATCGGGTGTGACACACGCGGGGGAGGGGGAAGGTTTTCTCAACCTGACTGCACCTCAGCTTTTCACTTTCCTGACTACTAGAGGCACTTCAAATGTTAAAGGGGGTGGGGGAGGAGCGCCCTAGCCCATTGTTCCCCTTTTTGCATTGATATGCTAATCCCCCTTGTGATGCCATAACAAAGAACACCTTGCACTTTTAAAAAGACTTTTGTGCCCTGTCCAGAGAAGTTTATTATCAACTAATTAGCAACAACTTTCTTGCAAATGAGCGGAGTTACATTTTCATAAGCTTTGAGCAAACAGAGTGGTCTGCGTCGTGTCAGGTGATAAGCTTGCTAAGGAAAACAGAGCCCTGCGTCAGGAAATGAACCTTAATAATTAATGCCAGCTATATGCAGAGCCTGTATCGATGGAGCTCCTTCCAAGGCATTTGATTCAACATGCTGCCAGATTTGCTAGGACTAAGATGTGCACTCTACACAATAAAAATTTTGCAAAGGATGTCTAGCCTTCCCTCCCCTCCCCCCCAAATGCAGGCCCTTATAGTATAGTATATTACCATGGCCTTTTAGATGACCCTGATTTATTCCCGTGGGAAACAGAACAAAAAAGAAGGCACATTAAAATTAAGAATTCATACAAAATAAAACACGGTTTAGGCAGTCTAGGTTACAACTATCCATTTAAACCCCGTCGGGGTGTATTTGAGCTGCTAGATAAGGAGAGAGATTTAGAGTCTCTAAACATATTTTTTGCAACTGCATGATATTTATTCTACAGAGCTTCCACGGACCAAACTGGAATCAACGTAACAGACTTGTTTAGATACACGTTTCATTTCTTTATAGATCGGTCGCATCCTTTTAAGCACAAGAGAATGCTCTTTCCTTGGTTGAAAGCTAACCGTGGAAAGTACCCCAGTGATTTCATTTTCGTCTCGGTGCAGTAAAGCCCAGTTGTTTACAGGCGGGTGTAAGCGATTTAAACGCCGCATTCACGGTCCTCTGTCCACACGTTCGAAAGCGTGTTGTGTTGTTATTGTGCGCAAATAACCTTCCATTTCTGATCTTATCGCTCGGGTGGGGAAAGGGAAGATCCCACTCCGGTCGCTCGGGGATGGATGCTGTGCCAGCTCCGTCCAGGGAGGATTCTTGAAGCAATCTGTGGGCTAGAGAAGAGGGCTATGGAAGCTTGCAGGCCGCAGGGCCCTTCTCAGGCAGTGGGTGTTTGGGGCGCGGCAGGCAAGCAAGGGGATAGCACGGGCTGTTTTTGTAAAGTCGCCTTCTTCTGAGCCAGTGAATTTATCAAAGGGGGGGAGCAATCTTCCATCAGTCTGTTCCTACCCCCCTTCCGCAAACGAGCCCAGGTATTTAAAACACTAACAGGTAATATAAAGTCTGATTGAAACCGAAAACTACAGAAGGGGTGGAGGACTTGAGGGGAGCTGGTGGATTATGAGATCCCTTCATTTCCTTTCCGTAAGCCTAAACGCAGCTATCTCTGGCTCCTTAATCTCCTCTAGAGTCGGCTTACGACCCGTTTGAGCAAGTGCAGCTGGAATTAGGAGATGGCAAGGGTGTCAAGAAAGCGCACGAGGAAAACTTTTTATATAACCGAAACGGTGGGGTCGCCCCCGAAGGCTGCTCTCTGGCCCTGGTAGTCAGTGTGCAGGAGGACCCGGTTTGCGATCGCCCACAGCGAGTGGCACAGGCAGACCACGTTGGCTCGCTAGTGCATGACGTGCGAGGGTCGGGGTCCAAGAGCGAGAGCACCCAGGATGTAAATGACTCTCTATTGATTTGAGCTTCTCGACGCCCAGGACTACAGCTGAAGCTCTTTAGCATCTTATTTTATTTATGACAGGACCTGCCAGCACTGGAGTCCTCAGCCTCCAGCGCAGTTAGATGGGTGCATATAGCTGTAGAAGAAGCAATCAATAGCATGACTGGCCCAAACGAATAGTTATCGACTGAGCGAGAGAATGAAACCCACCTAAAATCACAGTCGGGTGTGTGAGTCCCTTTCCCCCAATCCCTCCCTTCTCTTTGAGTGCAATTGTCTATGCCACCCTGTCTAGATGTGTGAGTCCCTTTCCCCCTTCTCTTTGAGTGCAATTGTCTATGCCACCCTGTCTAGTTAAGATAAAAGCTTTATTTGGACCGGTTTGCCACCCTTTCCCAGAGATGTGCTTGCCACCAGGCTGGCTACACTGGCCAGTGATTGTGGTTGCACAGATCTGACCATTGCAAGAGTCAGGGTGCAGCTGAGAAACGCAGCTCCTCCATTTACTGGAGCAGGCTTTGCAGGCGCGCGATGCAGGAGTGCAAGTTCAGGAATGTATGAAAAAAAGGTTACAATTAGTGGTTCAATCGCCAAAGTTGGGGACGTGGTGTATATATGTATATATTTTTACATGGGGCGAAATACATGATTTAATTATACTCCAAAAACAAATTAAGGACAGGCCTGCTACACAAATTGGAGGCAGCTAAATGCTCTTTTGTGCCCGCAGCCCTGGGGTTGTTAAAGAGGCTGCTGATGCATGAGAAGGAAAGTGACTGATTTAACTCATTGGGATTCAGGGAGCGACCTGCCCTCTTTAGAAAAAAAAAGTAGGGGGGGGGGGAGAGAGAGAAGGCGGGGGAGACACACACAGAGTCTTGCTTTACTGAGCTGAGAGCTGCTGACTCCCAAGCAGAAACTATTAGAAGAGACGCAGCCTCGTGTCTCTTTCCCGCATTTAAACAATGAAATAAGCCCATTTACTGCCAGCCGGCAGATCTGTGTTTTCCTCCGTTCTTCACCATGGAGGATAGGAGCAAGCCAGTACTAAAGCAAAGCCTGGCTGGGATGAGGATTACTCACTGTAGCGCCGGCTGTAAGTACCAACCTCCTGCTGCAGTTTTAGGGCGATGCTGCCGGGGGTGCTTTTGTTCTGTTCTCCCCACTTTTTAGGGGTCTGCTGCTTTGGACGTGGCGGAGCCCGCCGTGTAAAGGAAAGCCCCCAGCTTCCCTGGGCGCTTGGGAGCGGACCACCCGGTACAGTCTGAGCCTGCGGTAGCTTAACACCGTGGAATGTCAGGTCGCCTCGCAGTTTTAGGCTGAGCCTGTGCTAGCTTAACACCGTGGAATGTCAGGTCGCCTCGCAGTTTTAGGGGGGGATTTGCTAGATCTGTTTGCAACTGTGTTGGAAGGGCTTTTCTGGCCCGGGGTGGGGGTGGGAGGGATTTTTTTAAGGCAACGTGGTCGTGCTCTGGCAACGTGGGGGTCGGAGTCCACCCAGCTTGAAGGAATTCCTGGATCAAAATCGCTTTCCCGTTTTGCGAGCCCCCCTTGTGTTTGCCGGACTTGTTCTGGCAGGATTTGATTTAAATAGCCTGAGATCAATACACCCCCTTCACTCCCCCCCACCCCAATTTAATCGCTTTTTCTGTGTGAGCGCGCCTGGGAAACCGGATCGGGCAGGGAGGATCCGCGGGGGGAAAATGTAAGAGAATTCAGCCGGTCCGTGCTCCCTTTGTGTGGTGCTGGAGCCGCGGAGCCGCTTTGTGCTTTGGAAGGAGAAAATGGCGAGTCCTATTGTGTTTAGGCCATTTTCTTCCGGTACAAGGGTTTCCCCCCCCCCCCCCCCCCCCCCCTCACCTAGAAGCCACCTACCCTAGGAAGTGTGAATGGCGGCAGCACGGCATTTTACCCCGCCGCCCGCGCCTCGCGTTTGAGACTTCACCCATTTGCTTCGGAGTGAGCAATTGGTAGCCATTGGCACTGAACTGGGAAAAGCAGGCGCGTTTACAGGCGAGTTTCGTCGGACAAAAGCAATTCGAAATCGCGGGCGGTGTTTTATACGTCTTCCCTTTTGGAGGGGAGTGTTTTGTTTGGTGTAATGATCTTTATACGGTAAGCCAGGACACTGAATAATCAGACAGGTTAAAAAAAATCAACCAGCAAAAGGCGGAAGAGCAATTATTTTCTTGCTATTAGTGTGTCTTGCAACTAATGTGAGCTTTAAAAGCCTGTCATTGTAATCCATTTTTTTAAAAACAGGAAAAGAACTTTTTATATGCCGATTGAAAGTCTCTGAGTAGCACTTTAGATGTGTGCATATTTTATGTCCGCTATAAAATATAAAGAATTTGTGGTTTTCCAATAGCTTCAATTAAGTTATGTATGTTCGCTCCCTGAAACATAGTTGAAAATCACTTCTTCATTTCCACGTTAATCCGTTTAAAGAAATGGTTAAAGAGCCCTGCTTTTTAAGAGTATCGTACTTAGTAGTTACCATTTCATTATGATTTCGAATTATCGGACATCTGTCAGCTATTAAAACAATAAACTATAAATAAACGCAACCCCCCACCTATGTTCAGTATACTGAATTGGAAAACAAGTAGACTTCTTTTAATAAGTGCCAGGGAGAAACTTGCAGTTTATTTTGCCATTTTACAATAACTACAACATTATTGGGTTTGTGCAAAATACACAGCGATTTAAATTCTTTTAAAAATTTAGCATTCATCTCCCATCATGCAGATCAAAACCATGGACAGCGAACGGATATTAAACTAAACTGGGAAAGGATTATCGCGCTAGAAAATATAGAATAAAGCGACCATAGGGCAACATTCAAAATACACTCACTTAAAATTAATAAGAAAACTAGCTGTTCTATCTTTCTCAATACATGTTTTCTATTTCTTGTAACAGTAAAAGTTTCAAAAGCAAAAGATGAAGGAAGTGGCATTTCTAATTTTGCTGCATTGCAATCCGCCTTCGATTGGACTAGTATTTCTAAAACTTCCACCCTTTATTACTTGTTACAGAAGTAAAAAAAGACAACCCACTGTCCATTTGTGTGCTTTTTCTTGCACGCAGAGACAACAAGAAATCTACAATGCAATTCTAACGTCACCTGAGTGACATTGGTTTAAATTAAATTGATTTTATCAGTGACCAAGTTCCACAATTGGAAAAATTAAATGCCACTTTGACAGACAAGGATAATATAGAACAGATCTATAAAACAGGTCTTTAAAAATAGTCTAGATATTGAAGGGCTGCTCTCCTCACCCCACTCCATTATATCATAACATTTATTTTTGCCTTCTTGCGGTACAGAAATTATCGAAACAATTGTTTGATGCAGAGAGACTGAGATGATGAGTCATCGACTTTTATTCCATAGCAAATCTCCAGCCGTGGCTCTAAGGCAAATTTCCTTTTTGTTTTGATCATGCCTTTATTTGAGCTGCCTTTTCAAACCCTTTAAATCCTTCCAAGCCATTCAGTGCAGAAACATGCATAGAAAGCTCTTCCCCCGAACTCCAGAAGTTTAAATATATCTGAGTTTAGAAATGGCGAATTAGGGATGGAAAGGCCTTATCTCGACCTTCAAGATTTGTAGTACACTTTCCCTTTGGGTCATTTAAATATAAAATTCGATTTTGTTTTCAGTACACATCAATTGGGGCGAGGCCAATAGAGGACCCTGGCTATTTGGAATTGAGGTTTTTGCTTTATTTTTAATATCGAAACGGATCTACTTGATATACATCTATCAATGCCCCACTTCCAATTTCTTGAATAGGCTCTCTCTATATGTCATAGCCACATCAAACCATTAAAAAGACTCTTCTAATAATATGAAGGCAGAGTATTTTATATGACCCACTTAGATTTCCTCAAAGCCTGAGTGTTTGAAAAGATCTAGGGGTCAGGTCATACTGGTTTCACTTGTGGGTCTGGATTTCAGCTCACTGTTATTTAGGACAGCGTCTGTTTCGCTCTGATTAATCAGTCCGCTGGAGAACACGGGTATCGTGTGCCTGGAATACAGGGGGTCTTTGGAGACTGACTCCGGATCATAACTACGTTGCAGGCTGTGGCGAAACGGTGGCTGGCAGTGGCTCAGGCATAGACTCTCGTGAGGTAGCGGATCCTGTTGTCAAACCCGAGTGACTGCCACTAGAAGCACTGGGAGTGAAATAGACCGAAGCGGCGCTGCAGAGAGGGAGCTCTCACTGACTTCCAGCTATTTCCTGGGGAAGGGTTGAATGGGGTGAGGCTGGGATTAGGAGCCACTTTGCTGCTGTCAGTGTGCGGATTAAGGCGATAGGGAATCCGGGGGAGCTGCACTGGGCTCGACCTTTCACCTCAGCCTCCGAACGGGCAGAGCTCGCCGGCGAAAAAGAGCTGGCTGGTGGGGCTCGGCGGAGGGTCTGAGCAGTTCAGGGCTGAGCTCCTGCCGGCTTGGCTCCGGTTTCAAGGACACGGGGAGATGAGCAGGACTTTGGGAGCCAACATCTGCCTGGCTGGTGACGTCAGCAGCCCCGTGTAATCCTCTTGTACTGAAGGCAGATGCCTTATTTGTTTGGCTGGAGAGCCATTAATCCCTAATTCGGGATCAGCGAGCGAGGGGGAAAGACCAGACCGCGCCCCCCCCCCTCCAAAAGCACCCAGCACCGAAGAGGAGTCTCGCCCGGGGTTCGCTGCGGGCTCCGGCTTGCGCTGTAGGCTGCAGGTTTGCACCTTTTTTTTTGTTTGGCTGGTTTGGCTGGTTTGGCCGGTTCAGGGCGGTGGACGGGGAGCGCTTGGCTTTCCCGGACGGATTTCGAGCCCGGCTCTTGTCTCGTGAACGCACCTAAGGTGGGGGAGGGGAATCAGCGGAGGGGAGTGTATGTGTGTGTGGGGGGGGGGAAGCTTTTGTTGCCTCTTTGCTTTGGGGGATTTTTTTGGATGCCCGCTTGGGAGCTGCGGAGATACCCTCTCTGGCTAGAACGGTGTCGCCGACTGGCAAATCCGCTTTGCTCACCTAGAAACTCCGGTTCCCTCAGCCTGCTCCTGGCTCCGGCTCTGGGGGAAACTCCGGTCCTGCATTAGCGCTTCTCCGTGGTCGAAGGGACAGCTCAGGCAACTCAATTTCTCCGATTATTTCTCCCAATTCTGTGCATCCCCCTCCCCACACTTCTCCTGATCTGCCTCCCTTCTTCTCCTTTGTCATTTGCATACATTAGCCCGCGCTTTGCGTGCGAGCCCTGGCGCTATTCACTCCCCCTCCAGCCCTTCTAATTCGCTTGCTTTGTCTGTTTTCTAGGGGATCACACTCCGGATGTACGGTGGCCGGGGCAGGAGCCGCGTTCTCACGTCCCCTACGCACAGAAGCTCGGGTGCAAGTGAAGTCCTTGGGAAACCCAACTCCTGGACCCACCCATTTCCGTTGGCCAGCGTGGAACCGAGCTCGGCTACCGCACTAGCCCCCTGCCTTCTCTCTCCCCCTCTCCCTGAAGCTAAACTTCAGAGGCCACCAGTAGAGGTCAACCCAGTTTTAGGGCGCAGCTCGCATTCAGGCTGGGTAATCCGCTTTGCAGAGCAGCCCTCCTTGGCGCAGGGATGCCGTCCGACTCAGTCTGGAGTGGATGCCCGTATAAACGGTTCAAAGGGCATGCAGAGAGCGTAGGTTGCGTTCCTTCCGCTGCACTGTAACTCTAGGCAGGCCAGCTGGGCTGTCCGTAGCCCCTCGGGAACGGGCAGGTGCGACCGAGTTAATTTTCTCCGCTTTCCAAAGAAAGATGACACGTCCTGCCCTTTCATTTTTCAGCCCGCTCCCTCCGAAAGCCTGCTGGAGACGCACAAAATGCCAAAGCCAGCGTTTGATGGGGGCGGGGGGCGAGCCCTAGTCCCACCTACATTTGAAGCTATTTGAGAAAACAAAAAGTAGAGCAAACCCCGTGTCTCTTTTCGAAGCGACAAGGAAACGCTCGGGCGGACGAGATATACACACTGCACAGGCTCTCGGCCCTGGGAAATAACAGATGGGCTAGCCGGGCATCTCGGCCGGGACTAACCTTCAGTCTAGGCCTGGAGGACGAGTGGGTGGGGGAGGAGAATTCACCTTCCTGGCACAGCTCACTTGCGATGTTGATGTCCGGAGTAGGAGATGCGGGGCTCTGCCTCTCCGTGTTCACAGCGGACCTTGATTTAATGTCATACAATTAAGGCACGCGGTGAATGCCAAGAGCGGAGCCTGAAGACTGCGTCGAAGATCTGACCGTCGAACAAGCCACAGTAAAATAGAAACAGGCTGGGAGCCAGGGGCAATAGAAAGCTGCGCTCACTCACCTAAGAAACTCTAGGCTAAAGCGGGTCGCGCCGCTGGAGCGGCTCAGTCCTTTGGAGAGGAAAGGAAGGCAGCGGCTGGCTTAGCGTGGGCTAGTGGCGGTTGTCAGGAGCAGGCTGTGCTGTTTGTTAGAGGCGATGCAGCAACAGGGGTAGAAGTAGCAGTAGATTTTGTTTCTCTGGGCTGAGGCGCCAGAAGTCATTGAAACAGACCTGGTCTAGAGCTCTGGGATTGGGTCTGCTGCACCCTCCTACCCGCCAGCCTAGCACTAGCCTAGGAATGCCCGATTGGTGTTTTGTCTCCTCCTGGGGCTTTTTGACACTATCCCGCCTGACTGGCCTTGCAAGCCAAGGAAGGGGAAGCAGAAGGAATGTAAGAAGCCAAACCTTTCTAAACGTACCAGGGCCGGCAGGAGAAGGTTTCCCAGCGAGGGAAGAGCGAAAGGCCGGAGAACCTGGTTTCCGTTGAGGTGCTTGGGGTGGCCGTGTCCTACGCGGGAGAGGAAGGCGGTTAGACGCGTGAGTGCAGGAGCTAGGGGGAGAAACCAGAGCTCGGGCTGTAACTCTCGCTGTGTGTCTTTGTTTAGCCGGGCCTACGCCTGCGGAGGAACAAAGGGGGAGGCAGACTCTGCTCAGGTCCCATCGACAGCGGCCGGGGCCCTGCGCTGTCCATGGTCCTGAAGGCAGCTCTTGTGCTTTATTCTCCAGCTCGGAACCGCAAGGCTCCGGTTCTTCCTGCCGCTAATTCGCATCAGGAAAACACATTCGAAGCGGGAGCCGGGCTAGGCCAGCTCGCGCTTTGCGATCCCGATCCGGATACTTGAACCAGAAAAAAAATGGGATTGGAGCAGGGCTACTCTATTTTCCTCCTCCCACTACCCATCATTTTAAGATTGCAGCATGAGTGTGTGTCATTCATATGGGGTCCGGGCTGTTACTGATGGGTAGCCGTGAGAAAAGAGACCGGGCGTGCCCATCTAAACCTAGCGTTTAAAACCTGAATTTTGTAAAGCAGGATTAGTGTAGTACCCTTTCCGACAGCTCAACCGATAGCCCTCTAACCGCTCCTCCCGCCCCAAATGACTGGGATCAGGCCCACATTGATTGGCACGCAGAAAATAGGAGGCAGGATGCATCTGTCCACAAAAATGCAACGTGGCAGCGCCAGACTCTATTGATTTCGTGCCGTTTCCCAGAGTACCCCAGCCGCTCCCAAAGGGCCTGTCTTTCAACTATGCCATTGCAAAGGTGGGGGCTGGGAGAGAAAGTAACACTAAAATAAGAGATGGAGGGGCTGCAAAACGACTGCAGGTAGGGAGGGCTCAAGAATGTATAGGACATAATGATACTCAATAGGGCCAGGAAAGCGTATTAACGCCTACACACTGCCTGTCTGAACATTAGCATTGCAGGGGGCCGAGGGCGTGGGCACAGGCTGCTGCTAATGGCCCTGGTGATAACTATCCACTGCACATTTAGTCATTGGCTAGGCTATCAGGTCACACCCCTAACACTGATATTTTTTGCAGAGGAGGTGAAAACTGCTTTTTCCCTATGGCTCAGGCCTCGGTCCTGCCGCCGTTGAAGTCAATGACTTCAATGGATATAGAAAGCAGCAGCTGTCTTCGGTAGAGGCCTTTAACTCTGGCATATTAGTCTCTTTACAGCTTAGCTGAATTCTAATACATTCCAACACTTCATTCATCAATAGGCCAACACAGCCACTGGGCATTTCGGGTTAACCATAACAAAACGAGACACAGGGAGCTGTTCTAATGTCTTTGGAGGCAGAACAGTTCGAAGTGGAGCCCTGATCCCGCAGTCCTCACTCATGCGAATACTCCCTTGGCTGCAGTGGGAGTTTGGCTTGGGTGACGACTGCAGCTCGGATCCACTGCATTCACCGCAAGTGAGAACAATGACCTCCCTCCCCGAAACATTTCACAGCTGAGTTCTGCTAGGGCTTCCTGCCGCAGAGGGACCAACGCTGCCTTTCCTGCGAGCTGCCCGAGATTATTTCTCCCCTTAAAGAACTGGACGTTTTAATTCTGTGCCTATTCCGTCCTCCCCTTTTTTAAAAGCTCGGACTGCTAATGCCTCGAATCTCTGCGACGAATACTAAACATAAGTCATTAACAACTGTCCAGTATTTAAGAAAAAATGTAATCCTCGGAAGCGATAAAATAACCCTCCGGGCTTACACATGATTGCATATGTCTATCTGAGCACATATACTCTTCTGTTCAGTCTATGAAATTCCAAAGCAAGTTAGAACGCTGATCAGGCATCGATTTTAAATGTATAAGTTGGCTCGTAAAACAATGTAGGAGCCTAGCGCTGAAGTATTAAATTAATTGGTTTCCGTCTCTAAGGCTACATAGAAGTCGTATAGTTTACTAAATGCGTATTGTAGGATACAAAATAGGGCATAAATGAAATGTCTAACTAAGGAGTCAGTTACAATACATTCTAATGTTTTATTAGACAAACGGAAGCCTGATAGTTTCTAAACGATAGCGACTAGAATTGGACAACGTGCTGTGATTTAGCGAAATGATAAAGACAGATTCTATTAAAGGCTCGATAATTCCCGGTCTGGAGGTATTTTGAATCCTTAGGCGTTCCGAGAAATTCTCCCTTATGAAAATAGACTCCGACTTTAATATTTACCACCTTCCTCTTTCAAAAATGGAGTCAAAAGTTCTGCTCGGAGCAGTTTTTACACAGGGCAGCATAATGTCTTACCCAACTCAATCCCGGCATCTCGGGGAGGGAGCAGAGAGGTTTGGCTTGGAGCCCCCTCTGCAGTCAGGAGCATTTAGATTTGTGCTTGGTTCCAGTTAAAGCTTCTTGGAGGACAGACTTGCCCCGGGAAACGCTCCTACTTTGTTTGAAATAAAGCCAGGCCGCACCATTGGGAAAACGTAGGCAGTCGCATGTTTTCTTATTTCACTCTAGCTAAGCAGAGCAGAAAGCTACTAAACTAATTCGGTACACGGCGTAGGTTAGTTAACTAGGTCACGGCACCCTCTACTGGCCAAAAGAGGAAGAACGTCGATTTACAAATGTGTTCGATGGCGTCTAGGGAAAAAAACCCGAAACTAAACATTACAGAGTTAACCTAATACTTAGACTAATCTATTCAGTATTTTGCAATTTAAAGGACTGAATGAGAACTCGGCTGCACGGAACCCGAGGATTTCCCTCAATTGTTTTGAAGTCACAAAGAGGGATGGCGACTTCAGGTGTTGCGGAGTTCTAAATTCTAGAATCTTTGGTCTGCGGCCCCAGTACGAAGCCCTCGTGAATCACCCAGGAGCTTGGGACTTTGCCCGAGAGCTGAAAAAGAGTAAAACAGGCGGAAGGCAAGATATTCCCCGGGTAGCCAAGTCAGGAGAGAGTTCCAGTGCTGACCTTATGAATGTGAGACATCTGAAGTGACACAGGTAAGTGGAAGGAAGATCAAAGAAAACTCTCCCACAGAATTTGCCCTCTTGAGTTTATTTTAATCCTGCGAAATCCTAAGGAATAGGCTACTCGGATTTCAAAGGGTGGAAGAAAAGGAGAGGGGAAACAAAGCACAACTTTCAACTACCAAAGACTAGCGAGTGCCCATGGTTTTTACAATTAAAGTATCACCCAAAATAAAAGAAATGTCCAACAAACAAGAACTAGCAAAGGAATGGCAAGAGATTCATTTCCCGATCCTTGCTATAGGCAGACCTCACCGCTTCCGTTGCATTATTCAGCTCTTCTGATGTCAATTTGCTGCCACATAATACTGTGCTACCACCATATATTGTTTTAAAAATTAAATATCTGACAGGTTTCCTTGTTTTTTAAAAACAAGCGAAGTGCTGTAGAAATAGCACAGTTGGATAATGGGGAAGGAGTAGCTTGTTACACCTCCCCAATGTTCCATAGGAGCTAGTATATTTCTTCAGCTGTATTACTTGAATATTGTGACTTACTAAATAATAATAGGATCATACATACACTTGAATAATTTTCAAATAAAGTAACACAATGCAGTAATTATATCACTACTGATGTAATGAAAGTTCATTTCTTGTTCACACTGATTTAAGGGGCTAGTTTATAATAAATCTTTTAGAAATAAAATTTGATTTATTAAATTGTGTCAATATGAAATGGTTAAATGATACTTTAATGCAAACTAAGCTTTTATATGAAAATACTTAATCTTATTTAACCTTAAAAGTATACTTGCTAGGGCCTAGTTTAACATCAGTCTTCTGTACTAGAAAGTATCAAATTAACTATTTTATTCATAATGAGTGAACCAATTATACATTTCCCACAATCTCTAGCGAATGGAGTGATGAATTTGGAAACGGACAAGTAAGAATTGCATGGGAAGGATTGTGCTAGGGTAGTTCTCCCTCAGCAGTTACAACTGCCACACTTCTCTGAAGATTACTTTGCAGTTATTTTAACAAGAGAAAATAATTAGAGCATGAAGGTCCTTTTGCCTTTGATGATGACACTTTGCTCTATTGTTAGTGTACATCCCCGTGCAGAAGGCTTGAGCAAAAAAGCTTTCTGCACTGTTCTCCAAATGTATGTTCCTCCTGAGGGTGTTATCCAGAACTCACCACACCAATAATACAACACATTACTATTAAAGGGCATTTTATATCCTTCCAAGTTCTATAATTAGTTACAGTATTAGAAGTATTCAAAGTACAAGAGATCCATTAAGTCATTTTAAAAGAATGTTCCGTTCACTACAAAATAGCTGTCACCCACAAGGTATGCTTCCCTTCTCCCCCTCTCCCTCCAAACATAGTAAATAATTTTGTGCAGTAGGTTGGTTTCTTTGGATCACAAACTCCACCTGCATTCAGTCCATACTTTAATATCAGTGGAAGCTGAGAATGTAAACTCAGGGGAACATATATATAGTAGACAGTTAAAAATGTAATCTTTACATTTTTACCATGTTTACTTAAGTGAGACTTAAGATACTCACATACATTGGGAGAAATCCTGGCCCTATTGCAGCAGATAGCAAGACTCTCACTGACTTCACTAGGGTCAGGATTTCATCTTCAGCTAAATGATGCTTATTGAATTCTATAGAAATTAGTCTGAATTAGGTGAAAAGCAAATATATCAGGATTTGGCCCTTAGTAATTAAAATAATTTTTTAAATAACAATTTAAAAAGATTTAAAGTTTCCCCACCCTGCATTGTGTACAATATCCCACTATCACCAGAGCAAATAGTTTGCATTTAAAAAAGACAAAACACATCATGAATAGCTTTACATAGGTCTCCCTACTGTCTGCATTTCAAGCTAAGGTTAAATAGTAGACATTCTACTAAGCTTCACCTAAGACATGCAAAAGCTGAAAAATCAGAAATATTTCCATGTCCAGGAAAAGTTGCCCAAGAACCTGAATCTTAGGCCTTTTGGGTGCAAGCAGGAAGTGTTAGTGTTCTCAGCATAAAATCTAACAGTTTTTAACTGGTCTCCAAACATGCAGTTGCATCAGTTTTTGCACACAGCCCCTTTCGTTTAAGATATGAAAAAGCCCACATTTATAAATGCAGTTTGAGTACATCTATCCATCTTGTGAGCACAAATGCTGGCTTTGAATATGCAAAACTGATACCTGCACATGATATACATAAAAAAAAGTATTAAAAACAATTCACAGCAGAATAAATATTTTGCTCCCTTGTCTTAGGTTCTGATTCAGGAAAGCATGTAAGTACATGCTGAAAGTGAAGCATGCTCTTAAATCCAAATGATTTCAATGTAAGCATGTGCTTACGTGTTGTCTTGAGTGTTGATGCTTTCCTCAGTCATGACTGACATCCCCAAAGCAATTATGTACATGGTTGGTCCTATGGAGTTAAATGGGGGCAGTTCATAGGCATAAAGTTACTTAAACATAAAGAACTGCTGGGACGGAAACTTACTTTCTCATTATATATGGATGACTTTATAGCCGAGTACAGCCAATTCAATGGAACCCCGCAAAAATAATCTTCATAAACAAAAGACTGCATTAATGTAATTTTAAGGTTTTGAACAAAATCACACAAAACAAGAAATACACGGGAGATGGGTTTCCCATCCTGTGAAAACTGTGAAGATAGCAAAAGATTTTTGCATTCCAGATACAAGCAAAAAGTCAAAATCAATTTTTTTTACTTGAAAAACCAGTTTTTCAGCTGAAGTAACTTAAAGTTTTCTTTTGGTTGTTTTGAAAGATTTTGGTTTGGATTTTGATTTTTTCATATTTTCCAACTTTCTGGTATACATTTAAAAACAAAACAAAAATTTGAGTTAAAAAATAGCTTTCTAGTTTAAAAGTGTCAAAACTGGACATTGACAATTTCAACCTCACCCTCAATGTTTCTAATCAGAAGATTTGCTGAAACTCACTGTGTTTCAGGATTAGTTTCCATTAGACTGTTTTGGTGAAACATGAGTTGTCAAAAATTTTCTGACCAGCTATATTTAAAACTCATTTTGCTCTGGCAGTATTAACTCAGCCATATTACACACTCTGCATGTGTGTGCATTTAGTATGCATCAGTAACAGGATTACTACAGTACGGTCACAGGAAAATAAAACATGTGCGGTGTACCATAGTAAACATTGATGGAATAATCTTAACTTTTGGAATTTTCTTATGAGCAAATTAACCTCACACAAATCATCAATACCAGGATTTTTTCATATTTAAAATTTCCCAGTTTTAAAGAGGAGAAAACAGAAGATTCAAAGACAGTCTGTTCCCTTGTTATTTCAAAAAATTAATGCTCATTTACATAGTTTATATTAGCTAACTACACATATAATTATAGTAGCTTCACATGAACATTCAGTACCTTCATATTTAACTATAAGTCTATAGACTTTTAATTTTTGTATGTCTACAAAAATCCCAGTTGCTCCAAGGCTGATCCCTTTCTCTCTCTGGTGCTCACTCATATACACCAAACACACAGACTAGGTATATACACATATACTAAAATATATATGAATCCTAAACATCACTGCCTGTTATTTGAAAATTGTATATCACATAGTGTAATACACCGTTTTTTCCAACCAAGGTATTAATCTTCCATGAAAATTATATACTGTCCAAGTTTCTTGTCAAATATACCTTAGTTATTTTTCCTCAAACTTTGGGCAGAGGTCAGTGTTGCACAACTTGAAGCTAAGAACATTTTGGAAGGAAAATAGACAACTAGAAATTGTTTAGCTTTGTTTACACCAGTAGTTTTACAGCCAATTCCACAGGCCCAGTAGAATATATGCTCTTGCTCATATTGTGAATATGTAGCTCATATTATGAATATGAAAAAGCAGAGATGAAGGGCTGTATTTTCCAAGGTGCAAGGAAAACCCTAGCTTGTTGTGAGTTTGGAAGAGCAGAATTTGGTGGTTTTATTGGAAAGAAATCATGTGAGAGAGAAAGAGATTAATATTGAAATGAGATATACTATGGAGAGCTAGAAATTATGGGCCAGTGAAAAGAGAGGGGGAGTGAAAGTGACTGAATTAGATGAAAAGGAAACAACAAGCTATTTCAGATGTTTAAGGTGGAGGAGAAAGGCAGGTCAGCAAGAGAATACTCAGCGCAGCAGGAGCACAACTGCAAAACAGTTGAGACTATTTTCTTGAATTTTTAAATATAATTTGCTTGAGTTATCTGCTCATCACTTACATTTGCGCAATTGAGTTTTAATGTTTTCTGAAAGCAAAAACCTAAAAGTTCTGGGCCCAGAAATTTATTAAAACACACATACACATTTTGACTTGTAAGTGTTCATTCTGGAAATGCTTTGAGCATTTATCCAGTTAGGGAGATGAAACAATTCTATCTGGGTGGTAACCAATGTCGTTCAAATGAATAGATGATTAATGCATACAAAGAATTGTTCCTGATCAATCCAGAAAGTTTTTTAAAAAATCAAGTGAATGCATTGGAGGAAATTATGACCTATTCACATATGTCAAAATAAAGTACTATAAAATATTTTTCTGTATTAAAGACAGTGTAGAAAGAAATTTGGTATTTGATACATTTGGATGTGATGGCAAATGTAAAAAGAGATTAGGTCAGAAAGGTGGGGAGGTAAAGAGCTTGTATGCTTGGATTAAGATTCCAGGGGAGATTTTAGAGGATGGGGAAACAAATTCTTGCTTCCATTTCTGCATAACAGACCAGCTGCTACTGAGATGATATTGAAATCTGAACAGTTGAAACTTACAGAGATTTAATGAAGGGAATTGCAGTGGTCAAGATCACAGAAGATGAAGACATGGACCACTTTAGAAGTATCACTGAGATAGTGTTAATTAGATATTTCAGAGATGAAAGCAAACAGGTTTGCAGACCCAAAAAAAGAAGAGAGTAGGTGAAATGAAGGCTTTATTGCAGTCAGTGTCAAAACTGACTGGTGCCTGAAGTCACTTTTCATTTATAAACTACAAACCTGACAATGAAGAATGATAGTTTGAGCAGAGGAGTGAAATGAGACATTGGGGGATTGGTTAAAGATGGTTTTTTTCCTACTGTTTAGAGGAACATAAAGTTACAGATCCAATGAACAGAAAGAAAATTATGAGGGGCTGATGAACTGATGATGAGGTAAAGTTACAAAGCTATAACTTGCTACATTGTTTCCTTAAGCACTTCTTCCAAAACAACCTATGAAATGAAAGTGGAAAATTAGCTTTCCTGAATTTGTCAAATGTGCACTGAAAGATTGTCTTCTAAATATTAAACTGGCATGTGTGTTACACACACACACACACATAAATTAGTGTAATGCAAAATTGTGCTGTACAAGAGCCCCTGGAAATGTCTCTCTCATATTCTGAGGTTTGGATCCATGAAGTATATCCATGGCTAATATTTTATGAATTCAAGAAATTCTCTCCACTCAAAGCCACAGTATATTTGGCTGAGTATGACAGGTTAGGGAATAGGTTCCCAAACTGGGGGGACGTGCCCCCCTGGGAGTGTGTGAAGAAATTCCAAGGGGGGCATGAGGTGACCCAGCATCCTCCCATCAATCCCTTCCCCCAAGAAAGAGCCTGGTCTGTCCGGTAAAAAAAATCAGAAAATACCATGTGAAATGTCCGTTATTTTCTGTTTTTCTTGGCTTAGGCGTCCACCGGAACACGTGCAGCTCAGGCTGGCTCAGGTGGGGGGAGGATGGAGTGTCCTAGGCAGACTTCAAAATGGCGGCCGTAAAAGGGCAATGCCTGCTCTGCTCTTAAAAGAACAACTTTTTTGGGGGGGGGTCAACAACTTTTCCCTTGGAGTACCGGCACCTTTTTTTTTACACTGGTCCTGGGAATTAAAGGGACCACAAATGTTTTTCGGTCTTGGTCAGTTCCTTTTGGGGGGCAGGAGGCAGGAGGATTTCTCAAAAATCAAAAAGAAGGCTTGATGCCGAAAAGTTTGGGAACCATTGTGTTAGGAACTCCAGCAGACACCAATCAACACTGGTCAGTTAAAAAGCAAAGTGGCATGAAACATTCATTCTACCTACAGGTTAAGTGAGTTGACTACACAATTCAGCTCTGTTAATCTGAAAAGCAAGATATCTGGATTGGAAATCAAACTTAGGTCTATTTCCTGGCAAATACCACAATAATAGGTTGCAGTCTGAAAAAAACACCAAGCATTCTGAGCACTGTTCAAGGTGAATAAAAGGGATTCTTTAATTATTTTTCTCCTAGTTCAACAATGGGAATTATAGCTTCCTGTAGAAGGACCAATAAATGAACCAAAAAGGTCAGCTCTTCATTTTAAGAAATTTCCCTATCAGTAAACATTTAAAATGATGCAACAAAATCTGGTGAGTAAAATATAAGATGACAATCAAGAGTTGTAAGAAAAGATGACATCTTACTTTGGTTAAAGCCTTCTCATGCTCTAATGGGCTGCACACTAAGTATTTAAAGGAACCATGAGAACACTGTCATCCAATATTTTATGTATGAAAGTCCTTAAAACAGCAGAACATTAGGAAAGGAACATAAACCCCATTAAATTATCTCAGCATGGAGGTCTCCGGACTGTCCCATTATTTTTATATACGAATGGGGCAGCCCTCATTCATGTACCACCCCTCGCTGTAGTAGGGCTTGCAAGATAAAACTTGCACACTCCTCCCCAGCCACTGCAACAAGGAAGGACCCATCTGCCAAATGTATTGTCTCAGGACTCCATTACTAGCTAGTCATTTCAAACAAAATCATGCAGATTAGCTAGGTAGAGGGCTGATTTGTTAAGTCTACTGTATTTGTCCCTTTCAGTGGCTGCTTTGCATAAAAGATAATCAGAGCTGATGACTTGTGGCTGTGGCTTGTGCTTGTGTTTGAAAGCCTATGGACCTGAGATGCTAGTGATCAGCTATCACAGAGGTGGGGAACCTAGGGACTGTAAGCTGAATCTACCCCATCTTAATTGATCCAGACTGTGGTAAGCCTCCACGGCATGAGCCAGAAGCCCTGAACATTGGCACCCCCTGTGGGGCTGGAGCATGGCACATGCTGAGTTAAGTGTGAGTGTGCGGTGGGGTTTTTTTCTTCCCATCTTGGGAACAGGTGAGTGGTGAGGGGGGTTTATTGTTTTGATTTGGTTTTTTGCTTGTATGTAGTCCCAGGCTGATTTTTCTGTGGCTCAGTGGCCCCTCACTGAGAAAAGGTTCCCCTCCCCTGTACAGGAGAGTGTATGTATTACACATTGAGTGTTTTGTGTCACCCACAAGAAGCTGGGGACTACTCCTATTGCCTACTCTGCAGAAGTTGACCTTCCTTTTTAACAAATGCTTCTGGTTCATTTTTAACAAATGCTTCTGGTCCTTTTGGGGGACAGGGGACATGGGGATTTCTCAAAAATCAAAAAGGGGGCTCGATGCCGAAAAGTTTGGGAACCACTGTTAGGGACTCCAGCAGACACCAATCAACACTGGTCAGTTAAAAAGCAAAGTAGCATGAAACATTCATTCTACCTACAGGTTAAGTGAGTCGACTATACAATTTAGCTCTGTTAATCTGAAAAGCAAGGCATCTGGATTGGAAATCATTCAGGATTTGAAAAATCATTATGGTGGGTGATTACAGAAACTGCATCATTGGAATTAACCAAAACCTAAGTGGACAAAGTACCCAGGTATAGTATTTTGCAATGGCAGATGAAGTTGCAAACAGACCTTTTCCATTTCTAATGCCTATGACTTTGTGTACAACTTTCCCCCCTCCACAGAATCTCTCTCTCTCTCTCTCTCTCTCTGTGTGTGTGTGTATATATATATATATATATACACAGAGAGAGAGAGAGAGAGAGAGAGAGAGAGTTTTTCCCTCTGTGTGACAGAGATATATATATATATATATATATATATATAGCAAAAGCTTCCTACAGTAGAAGCTGCTTCATTGGCATAGCCTGATTATAGTCAATTATCTAAAGCTGCATATTTCCTAAATTCTGCAAGAGCAAGTATGGCTCTTTGGAGCTCTGTAGGGATCAGAGCTATTAAAGAGCTTCTAAGAAGAACTCTAGGGACCAGGAGGGCTATAATTGGAAAATACTCAATGGGAAGAACACTCATCTTCCTACAGTAGAAGCTGCTTCATTGGCATAGCCTGATTATAGTCAATTATCTAAAGCTGCATATTTCCTAAATTCTGCAAGAGCAAGTATGGCTCTTTGGAGCTCTGTAGGGATCAGAGCTATTAAAGAGCTTCTAAGAAGAACTCTAGGGACCAGGAGGGCTATAATTGGAAAATACTCAATGGGAAGAACACTCATCTTTGCAGCAGTCTATTTAAAATGATATTTTTATTTAGTGCTTATTACCATGCAATCTCCTACAGTCCTCAGATTGTTGGAGGAACAAATTGGTTAGCCTGCTGCTTTTCACTTTTATGGCATTATTAGTGTAGCTTAACACAGTTGAAAATGGGAAGAAAAGTAGAAATGTATCCAGCAGAGTGCTGGAAAAATGTACAAGGTAAGCAACTTTTCATGACGGTTCATACTTTTTCATTTCATCTGGCTGTTGTGTCGTGTCTTGACTAAATATACTTATTTCTGTTTCATATAATATGTGACATAGTATAATATAGCTACTAAAATCATAGGTTCCTGAAACAAAATGACATACTTTCTGAAAAATCCTGTATACTGCCAAAATATTTAAATACTAGAGGATTTATCCAGCGTTACTTGGATCCTTAACTGAAATATTTTTTGTTTTCCTTCTTTAAATTATTGTTCTGTGGGACTACGTCTACACTGCACTGTTATTTTGGAATTCGCTATTCTGGAATAGTTTATTTCAAAATTGCTACACTGCAGGGAAGCCTCAAAATTAGTGCTTGGCAGGCTTCCCTAATGTAGATGTGCTATCTCAATTGAGAGCCCCAGGAGGAATAACTTAGAATGGCCCTGGTAAGGGGCTATTTCCAAATAGCAGAAGTGGAGCTTCTACACACGCCTTATTTCAAAATAGCTATTTCAGAATAGACATTATTTGTAAAATGAGGTTTAAAGAATTTGTAATAAGCCATCTGTTATTTTGAAATTATTTTGGAATAACTTTGCTGTGTAGACACACCCTGGTGGGGCTGGAGATGAGAAGTTCAGAATGCAGACTGCCCCTTGGAGAGAAGACTATCCCAACCCTCTCGCACCACAGCAGCGTGGGGCCGGATGAGAAGTGCCTGCCCATGGCTACTGCAACTGCAGTGGGCATCTGCATGTTCCCCAGTCAGGGAACAGAGGGATAGACAAACTCTCTCAAATATATACTAAATAGCTGTTCCTTTCTCCACCCTTGTCCCCTGCTGCCTGGATAGGGATATATCTTTCCCAGTCACCATCTCTGGCCCCTTGCTATCCCCATATAGTCATTATATAGCAGCGCCCCCTTTCCATTTTATGTGAGAAACAATCCTATTCCAAGCACTGGAACAATCATATTCCTGACACAACCACACCCTTACATTGCTTTAAGTTAGGATACGAGGAAGCTGCATACCAAATTTGGTGCTCTTGGCTCTTACCATTTAGGAGGAGTTCTTGAACAGACAGACACCCAGTCAGACAGATGGACAGAGACACACAAACTTTCTCAAATGTATTGTAGATAGTCCTTCCTGCACCAGTTTTCACACAACTTTCAGTCCTGATCTGACTCCTCCATTATTTGATCTACTCAACCCTGGTACATTGAGTCCCACAGTTCTTTTTGTTTTTCCTTTAATTGTATCCCAGTTACTTTGCTAAAGCTCCAGTTCTGGAAAACATCCCTGTCCAGGAAAGCATTTAAACATCTGCTTAAAAATATTGTCTTGAATTAGGGCCTAAGATTTTAAGGCAATATTTATCAAAAGTAATTATTAAATTTGATGAAGTGCTCAAAGTGAACTTCTGCCTTCCAATTGTTTTGTGTGTTGATTTTACTGCTAAGAAAATACCAGGGGCAGAACTTCCAAATGGGACTAGAGAGTCTGGGTACAGTTTGAGATGCCTGTAAGGAGCTTGAGTTTCAGAAAACCAGACCCATTTTTAAAGGTTCTCACATCGAACACCCAAAATGAAAATTTTACTTTTGAAAATCCTGGTCTTATCTCATGAGCAGAAAATCATAGCCATAGCAACAAACATTTATTTGCAGCCTAAATCACTGCTGGACCCAGACATCTTTGTAGCCCTTTGTATATGATGTGTTGAATGGCTTTTTGTTCACACAAATGTTTGGGAAATACTGTTCTCCATTCTGGGAGCTGCAGCCGAGCAAGTGTATTCTTTTGCGAAGGAGGAGTGTTCATTAAACTCTATTCACCACTTCCCAGGCTCCTATGTAAAAAGCTTTAAAGTCACATTAGAGAACAGTACAAACATTGTAGGCCTAAATCCTCATTCCACTTTGTCCACACTACACTAGCAGCAAATCTTAATCCTGGCGCTAGCTCAACCAGCCAAGGAAGGATCACTCTACAATAGGGAATCTTTCGCTGCTATAGAGCCATCTCCCATACAAATGCTCCCAGATGCCCCTGAAGGGGTAAATGGAAGAGAGAAGGGGCCATAGCTGGTGCTGCCATATGTCCTGTTCCTCTGCAATAGCTGGCTCAATTTCTTAGGGTTGTTGGCAACTGACAATTTACAGCAGCCTTCAGATTGCTGTAAGTTCCATAGAGAGCTATTGGCTCAGCACATAGCCATCCTAGAGTTGGAAGGAGCATACAAAGAACAGCTTTGCTCCTTGCTCTCACCCTGAATTGCTTTATCCACTCTCCTCATCCCAGTTGTGGCACCGAGACCACACGACCAGTCGCACACCACAAAAAGTCAAAATGAACCCCGTCATCTAAAAACAGTAGTTTGCACATACAAATTCATGGAGGTTAGGTCCATCAATGGCTATTGGCCAGGATGGGTAGGAATGGTGTCCCTAGCCTCTGTTTGTCAGAGGCTGGAAATGGATGATAGCAGACAGATCATTTGATGATTCCCTGTTCTGTTCACTCCCTCGGGGACATCTGGCATTGGCCACTATTGGAAGACAGAATCCTGGGCTAAATGGACCTTTGCTCTGATCCAGTATGGTCATTCTTGGGTATACATTTCCTGTCACAAATGCTTCATGATCAGGAAAAGGCGGGCTAAAGTCATTGGGTACTTTCTTCACAAATCACAAATTTCGCCAGCTCTGCTTACTGTGCAAAAAGGTAATGACTATATTTTGGTAGCTTACAATATCAGTAATGATCTGCAGGTTAGGTGTTTCCTGCAGCAAATAACTATCTGGGTTTAAGGCTCTTATTTGGCTTTAGTGGGCAAGTAAAAATAAAGACTCGATTTGGACTTCTATGCTCTTATGAGAGTGGGGCAGCACTCAGACATAAAATACTATGGATTGTCATTGTCACCAAGCCCCCTATGATCTCCTGCTTGTCTCAGACAGAGAAAAGTGAAAAGCTTTCACAAGAAAATTCCTGGGAATGGGGACCTCCGCAATCTCTTGCAACATCAAAAGTGAACTAAAGAAACATGCTGTTGCGAACACTGGGTATTGTATTGTTGCGGTTACCTTTGTTGTTGCTTTTACTATTATTTCTGGTGTTGCTAGGGTAATGTTTAGCAAATTCACACACCCTAAGGAAATGTACTTAGTCAGTGATGATACCAGCAAAATTAGATCAATGTCTGCAATGCCACAAATGGTTTTATAGTACTTTCCCCTTGAAACATGCTAAGCAAGACAGTTTCATACTTTCTTTAACATGCATAAAATAATTTCACACGAATGAGGCAGCTGTTTCTGTAGTACTGGATGCATATTACTCTAGCTAGTACAACTCCCCTACCCAGCAATGGAGAAAGGCAGAGGTTCATACACTGGTTCACAGCTGACACTGTTCATTTAAGGTTCAATTTGTGAATATGCTACCTTTAATAAGTGAATTACTGCTACTGGTACATTCACTAATACATGAAGCATGAATAAAAGCCTGTTTAGGCATCAGTCTAAACAGAGAATTCTGTCACACCACAAGTTAAAACAAATTATAACACAAAGCTATCGTTACAATGAAGACCAAATTCTGTTCTTAATTACATCCACTGAACACCACTTGAGTTCAATGGAATCACACAGGCATAATTGGGGACAGAAGGCAGACATGTATGCAGGGCCAGATGCAGGCAATCCAGGTCCCTAGGCTCCGCACACAACACAACCCCAGTGGCCCTGTGCCCCAGTCAGAGGGGTAGTGGCAGGAGGCTCCCTTCCTGTCCTAGAGAGATGGGGAAAGCAGCATCTCCCACCTCTAATTCCACTCTCACCCGGGAACCCTTAAAAGGGCCTCAAGGAGCAGAGTGTCTTGGCATGACCATTCCCATTGAGACTCCTGGGTAATTCACAGCTCTGAGTGTTCCATGCTGGCTGTAGGCTCAGGCAGACCCACTGTGTTGATTACACTCAGGTTACATTTCTGAGCCTTTCTTCACAAGTGTGAGGGCTAGCTACTTTCATTAAAAGAAAGCAGAGATTGTCAGATCATGTGACATCAGAAGCAAAGGCCTTAGGCATGAGCCTGTAGGGACTCTGTTTTAATTGGGTCTTGTCTGTATGGTCTTGTATAATGGGATTTAATTTT